CCCCTTAACACGTTAGCACCTACTTTATAGGCATTTTTCTTTCCAACGCTGTTTATCTCTTCATGTTACTCCAAACCTAAAAAAACAGTGCGTGATGATATGACTCTTTTGGAGGTTTGCGGCTGCGCCTTCATCACCATCATTATTATTATTTTCTAAGTAGCTACATCTGGCTTTTATTTGTGTCCAACGTTACGTTTTACACATTATAATAATACGTAATATAATAATACATAATGCACGTGCATTGATTCTAATAGAAATAATTTTTATGTGTGGATGTAAAAAAAAAAAAAGTCTGAGAAATACTATTAATTAGACCTGATGATATTTTTTGGGGGGAGGGGGTGGGGAGCACGAGGAGTGAGGAGAAGCGAGGAATAGTAGAGAAACCTTATCCGAAGAAACAAGATATACCCCAAACCAAGAGACTTTTTTTTTTTTTTTTGGGAAGTCTCAGTCTCTCGCTATTTTTGTTGTACTTTGGGCGCCCTTTTTCCCAAAGTTGGCTCATTATTTCATTTTCCTTCTTAGTCGTGGATTGGCATGCACTAACGTGGGTGTGGGCCATCCTCCTGCCACGTGGCCCCTAATCCACCGTCCATTCCAGTCTTGTCACGGACGATGCCTGATGTGATGGTGAGGCATGATTGGGATGTGGCACCCAAATACCATCAATCATTGCCTCAATGTCACCGGGATATGTTGTTATCTCCTTCTCTTCCCTTCCCTTTCTTTCTTTCCTTTTTTTTCTTTTTAATATTTTGAGAATTTTTTTATTTATGCAAAAAATTGGAATTATACCCTATTCATGCTCTACTCAGTTTTAAATTTTTAATACCCTATCCACTACATTTTAAACGAAACAGGCAAATAATGTAAACCCATTTCTGATTATACGAACCGCATACACACACATAAATGAATTCTACTTTTCCTTCTAATTTCTTCTCTCTTTGTTGTTTTTCATGCAATATTTTTTACAACCCATTTTCAATCATAATTTACAAAATGTGATATATAAATATGAAAAGAATTTTGTCTTAATTTACATAAAATGTGTTTATAAATGTTTATAGATATTGATTTCAAACGAGATATTAATCGATAGCTGAAAACTAATCTTCCATTTAAGTGGGTTTTTTTTCCTTCCCAACAAAGCTTTTTTTGGTGCACACAGCGGAATTCTAATTCCTTCTCTCTTTTTTTTATTTCAATTAAAGTTCATTTTTAAATTATCTATGCAATTTTATCTCCACCATTGAACTGCATCTTCATTTAAAAAATATAAACTTGAATTCATCTACGACAAATATTTTTTAAATCAATAATTTTTAAGCGAGTAATGATTTGCACAATACTAGAAATTGGCCTAAACTATTTTGCAAAAAAAGTAACAATCATCTGTTTATTTCGCTATGCGTCTTGTACTTTATATTGATTTATTTATAGAGATTACAAAATTGTCACAATCATTGATATTATTTGAACAAATAATCAGCAAAACTTGAAATTATCTAGTCTTTACTGTGCTGGTTCTAATTTACATATTTTTCCCTAATAACAAAATTTAATCACTTAACAATCTTTTGTTCTCATGCAAGCAAACATTGTTTGCGAAATTCTCCAAATGGAATAGACAGCAAACTAGTAATGTAATTTTTAAGAGAATATTCCTCCGGTCTTATATTTAGGACCGGAAGAGTAATACTTACAAACAAATTATCTAAACAATTTCATTTAACAAAATTTTAATCGATGTCATTATTCCAAAATTTCGAACTTGATTAGGCGGTATTGTTTCTAGAACTAGGACTATTTGAATGGAAATATATTTTATTTATATTTTCTCTTGAAATGAAATGAACTGATGTTGAGTTTAAGTCGGGATAGAAAAAGACGTTGAGTTGAAAAAACTGATATATTCCCCTCCGAGAAAAAATGGATTGGGCCTCAGTTTTCAGCCCACAAAGGCCCAAAACGACAGCCCACCTTAGACAGACAAAAAGCCGGCCTCATTGAACCCTTAGACTTGTAACAAGTTAGGTATAACATAACATCAGAGGAATCAATCAACTTTTGGATCTAATAAAAAAATTAATCCCTCACTTCCTCACAAAATGATGAACTAAGATTTCAATTCCCATTACTTTGAATAGAATTGTTTCTAATAACAGGATACCTATACGTAACAAAAAAGAAAAGAAAAGCAAAATAAAGAAAATGCAAGAGATCAAACCTCTATAGGGGAGCTTTAATTTGCTTTAAAACAAATAGTGTTGATTTACTAATGATCAGATCCACTTATATTGTTAACAAGTAGATTAGTAGATTTAGTGCCTGTTTGGTTAAGCAGTAAGAACTTAAATAAGCTCGTTTGAATCAAAATAAGTGATTATGAAGCATGATTATCCTGTTTGGATAATTTTTATAAAATCCCAATAAATCATGATTTCACTCTCCTACCGCACTTTTACAATAAGTACTAAGGAGTAACTTATGCATTTGAAGAATCCCTATCAATTTTTATTAATTGAATATTTTTCAATTTACCCTCCCTCACTCTTCTGAAAATCTCTCCCCAAATACTACCTCCAATCCTAATTATAAGAGTTAGCTCACTAATTTGAGGAGACTAAGGAAATAAGCTAAGTTAGTTATTTGTAATAAATATGTGTTGTCCTTTCTAACATATCCTTACCAATCAAGTGTATTGGTTAGAATTATCATTGTTAGAAGGACTACTCTGAGAAAAAATGCATAAATATGAGAGATAAAGTAGATTGAAGTCTTATATTTAAGACTAAAATAAAAGTCAAACAAGGTCTTATATCAAGAACCGAAAGTCAGGTAGTCCTTCTAACAATAATAATTCTAGCCAATACACTTGATTAGTAAGGATATTTTAGGAAAGACAACACATATTTATTACAATAACTAACTTAACTTATTTTCTTAATCTCCTCAAATTAGTCAACTAGCTCTTATAATTAGAACCGGAGGTAGTATTTAATAATATTTATTAAATTCATGCCTTTTGGGTAATTATACATTCATAAGTGACTTTAATAAATGAAAACCAAACATAATCACAATTTTTTAAAGTCACTTATAAAAAAAAATCCAAATAGAAATCACAATTAACCAACATCACTTATAACTAGTGTCACTTATAAAATTTACAATGATCTAAAATCACAGTTGTTCATTATTAATCCAAATATGGCACCTATTGAAGTATTTCAGTGTTATAATAGTAATAATTTTAGTGCTATAACAGTAATAATAATATTCTCTAAAAGATTTTCTTAATTTACACGAGTTGTACAAAACTTCGTGGACTTGTCAGTGTCATGTTACTTCTAAATTTCAGCATCATTGATGTATATGCATGAATAATTCTTAAAAAAATTGAAAAAGAGGATGAGTTAAACAGAAAATATATAACTAGTTAATCATCGTAGCTTGATTCAACGCTTAATTATCATGTCCCATAAGTCATATATTCTGGTCCCATTATGATAATCTTTTAAATATGGAAGTCGGTTTGTCAGATCGATAAGTTTAGGTTAAAATTCTTACCATGTGAAAAAGTTATTTTATGTATATTCTCAGTCAAGAAAAGGAACAAGAAGCTATAAAATTAATTAAAATCTTCATCAATGATATGATGCTTAATGTATGATCAGCGATGTGAAAAAAATAATTTTGTTATAGAAAATAGATAAATTAGATAAAGATGGAGATGATAAAACCTTCAAATGACAGCGGATATCGGAGGATTTTGCCAGATTAATTTTAAAATTTTGTAGAATTCTTTTGGAAGGTTAGAGGATTTGAACTTTTCATGCTACAATTACAGTTTTGTTCCATCATATATTATCTGGCTTACCTTGCTTCAAACGACAGGAGTTACAGAATTTAATTAGAAGTAGAATACATAAAATATTTCCTAAAACATATACTGACAGAAAAATAGGCAGGCATTCAATTACCTTTTCCCTATTAAAACATGTCGGAAATTCAAAGCCTTCAAAAGTTGGGGGGGGGGGGAATCGTCATCACTAGACCATATAAAGTATAAACTGATTTTAATGACGCCATCTAAACTGATTTTAATGACGCCATCTATAAAATAACTTTTGATATATGTAGTATGTATCCACACTATATGTATTACCTTCGGTCTTTAATATAAAAATTAGTTGACTAATTTGAACAGATTAAAAAAACTAGCTAAGTTGGTTATTTGTAATAAATGGAGTTTTTTTTTCTAAAATATTATTGTTAATTAAGTATATTAGTTAGACTACTATTTTACAAGTACTATCTTAAGATAAATAAATAAATAAATAAGAAACAAAGTGAATTGAGTTCTTATATTAAGAATAGAAAGTAATATAATTTGGTTGAAACATTATTAGAGATAAAAGCGATTGAATTGAAGCTTTGCAAGACCAAAGAACAGCAGGCATGCATCTTTATTCACCCTGTTTCCAGACAAAACATTCTGGTTTGGGAGCATGCAAGGTCTCACAAAATCAATCAAACTTGTTGGAAAATCCTAGGGATTTGTTTTTGTATATTTCATTTTGATGTTTTAAATCTCGAAGGGGGGTTTGTGTGGGCATCCCCCCCCCTCTCTATATATATATATATAGACTTCTTCATGATCGTATGATGATGCCAATATTTAAGAAAATATATATTAGGCTTTATAATATATGTAGTACTTCAATTTTCTTCACCAACAATATCCTTTTGATTTCTCTCGCTTCATTGCTCACACATACACAGCCACAAACCTCGGAAAATTGTCCCTTGTCTTGATAGCTTCTATCACAAAAGACACCTGCCATGGGTCTGTACGTCTTTTCTCAGCAATAAGGACAACAGGCAGAACAGATACATAAAAGGTACGTACAAATTAAAAGTTCATAATAAGCACTATGTGTAGTGTGACACACACAGAGACACAGAGAGAGAGAGAGAGAGAGAGAGGAATGAATTAGTAGATGCAAAATAACTAAAAGAAGCAATTATATATGTTTACGTATATGATGAAAATGAAGGGGGTGGGATTACAGGAAATTGATCGATGAACACTCAATTTATAAGGCACATTCCATAAAAGTGATGAAGATCGAAGATGATACATAGTAATGAGAGAGTTTGATTCTGCAAGGAGCTTTGCAAATTCCCAAGAGCATAACACAGAAGCAATGCCATCCATATGTGAAATATAGGCAGAGAGAGAGAGAGAGATCATAGAAACTCAGCTTCCCAATACATTTGATTACGCCTTGCAAGCAAATCGCTGAAGACAAATCGTCCCACTTTCATTATAATCTGATACACCTACCACTGATCATCCTGCTGTCACAATAATTACAAGCATTATTGATCATCTCTCTGTCTAAATGAGGCCAATTATATCAGTCCATGCACGTACACTTCACCTTATATATATGTATTAATATATATGCTTGATATGTACCCAGCAGGCATATATCTCTAAGCCCAATAATATTATATCCAGGAATTAAATTTACCATTAATTAATAATAATCTTGTGTTTGGCTGAGTTTAAGGAATGCATTTCTTTCACATACTAAAGAAAGAATAGAACAAGGGAATGATGGGGATTATTCTTGGGTAGGGTTTGAGTAATTTAAGCAGGATGCATGGAAATTAAACTCGATATATAAATCTAATTAGTAAATTTGTAGAGTTTGTAGGGAAATCTCGAAACAGCCATTGTACCAAACAGCACCAAATGAGAGCTTCAACTAAGCAACAAAACAACTTCATCATGTTTACATGCATCGTTTCAAATGATTCTTCCAAAGTTTGAATATATATGGCATATATAGGCAGACCGAGTTAATTTTAAAGAGATTGATATGCTTGTTAAAAGTCTGTTCATATCTAATCATATTTGGCTTTCTATGGAAGAATATGTGGTTCCCATGTGCCCTTTTAGAACGGGTATGCATGAAAAGTCTTGCTTTACTTCACCAAGGTCAAAACTAAAAACTGAAGGGTGAAGAATACACACACATATTATGAATATCCAAATATTATAATTAAATCATATCATTTTCATCCCACTCATCCATTCCCATGAGTTGTAAATGAATTCTTAGTACCACCATCTCCTACAGAATTCAATTCCAAAATTGCTCCATTGATGACTGGCCACCTAGCTAGCTTTCTCTACCAACAGTCAAAGTCTTCCTTTTTGTTTTTTGGGTTATATATTGCAGAGTTTGTCTAGCACGAGTAAACCTCTACTTCTTCAAGTTGTTCGTTTCAATGAAACAAAGCTGTAATGTATATGTTAAAGACCATACAGAGCAGGGTATTTAACCCTTATCAGGAGTATCTATATGGGCACTCTAAACGAAACAGTTGCCGCTACTTTATGTTTTAAAAAGCGTGTAAAAGGAAAGGCCAAAACAACAAGAAACAAAAAAAATTTTGGGGGGAGAGAGAAAGAGAGGCATGAAGCATGCATGTTTACACCCAAAATGGCAGATCATGGACCTTGGAGACAAGGGAGCCGAAGAGAATGTGATATACTTTAAACTATTTCAGATTCCCCAGCACAAGAACTGCCGAGTCAAAAGTGTGTGCCTGGTACTTTGGTTCGTGAATACAAACAAAGCAAAAACCCTAAATAGGGCTCCTCTTCAGCTACCTGACAGTACTGATGTAATATTCCCTTGATATTTCCTATAAACTACACATGATTTTTGTATGCTTATTATTATTATGTTAGGCTTTAACACCACACTAGTCTTGTACGTAGCTCAATAATCCATATACATTTATATTATATATATGCAGTAAGTTTTGACAGGTAATTTGATCAGTAGACTAATCACTTCAGATAAAACCATCAACTAGATTTAATATTCAAACTATATATACACAGTCTGTGTAACACAGACACACAAAAGAACGAGTCTTTTCTTTTATATATATATATATTATTCCAACTGGTATTTGAAGTTCCATATGTAGCCGACAAGATCATGTGAGATGATGCGAAGCACAAGGCTCAAGCATTTGCCTAACCAAACAATGCACAGTTTCCTTCTGATCAAATTTCTATTGATTAATTATATATTCGTACTTATTATAATCACACCCTTGAAAATGAATGGCACTTTCATGAAGAGAATAAAAACTACTGTGTCCCACAGAATCAGATGTTGGACGACACGCAAAATCTAATTGAAGGTACAAGGGGTGAACTATAAAGGAGCATACAGTGCAGAAAAAGAAACACATATTGCTTAATACACGAAAGATTGCAATAAGTGGGACACGATAGCTAGCTAAGAGATGTGACGAGAGTGAGAATAGTTAAGGAGTTTATTAATTATTAATTAACAAAGCATATTTGATATTTAATTAGCATACCATCAGGTTTTCCCTCCAACATCCATCCGAAAGATTCCATTCAATCATGACTTTGTTAGTATAAAATTGAGACTTTGAAAAACCCTCACAAAAAGCATGCATTTTTCACAATTTAATATTTGGTAACATGATTTTTAAGGAACCTCAAACCTTAATTAATCGAGTGCTTTCAATGATTTGTTTATTTTGATGCCGAGTCACACAAGAAAGTGTAAGACATGCCACTTAATTATTCATGGGACACAAAATCTGCAGAATCTTAGAAAGGCCAAATTAGGGGAAAGTGTTCGATGACAAATATTTTAATTGATATATTGCCACAAATCAGTGCTTTTCTTAATAATTAGTACTGCCTATTTATTAGTGCTAATTGCATCTTAATTATGCTTTAATTCTGACAAAACAATTAGCTTAACAATCACAAAGTTAGCACAAGTGGAAGTGGAACTTCTGTTCTTCCCAGTATATATATTTACTTCCTTGGTCGTTTTGGAGTACCAATGCAACGCACTTGCTTTATAATAAACTAAAAACTAAATTGTCACTAACTCCCATTTCATCACCTGTGATCTAGCTACATATCTCTTAATGTTATATTAATTAATAAAGCCAAAAATCAACAAACGTGTGATCTAAAGTTAATTATTCCTCAATGAAGCAAGCAATTGAACTTGATCTTATTATATATATAGCACCAGTATACTTATATATGTATACATACATGTGTGTATATATATATAGAGAGAGAGAACCATATAGAACCAGTGTACTTAATCAACCTAGTATAAATAAGCACAGCCCAACCATTAAACTATTGAAAGATTCAACTTCTCTCATCAATCTAGTTCACAGATAATTAGTAGAACGAGTTTTCTTCAGAAGAAAACGTCGACATATATGATCTTTTCAGTGGGATGGATAGTTAAGTGAGAGAGACTAGCGAAAGAGATCATGGAATCAATCAAGAAAAGCTCACTAGTTAGTAATTAGTTGATGAGAAGTAAATTAAAAAGAAAATTAAAGGAAAAACTAATTACCATAATTCCTTGAGGAAGCTGAATCATGAAACAGAATGGAGGAATCAATCAAGAGAAGTGCATGGTTGAAGACGAAGTAGTGGATTCATCAGTGCCCATTCTTTGATTTGTAGCAGTCGTTGTGGTCGTGGTCTTCTTCTTCTTCTTGTAAGGGATACCTCTAGCCTTAGCCTGACACTCCCTGACCTCTCTAAGGTACACCCTTATGGAGCCACTGGCAAAAGGGTTAGTCTCAGGGGTACCACCATTCTCCTCATAAGCAGCCCTGAGTCTGCCTATGAGAGCATCCAGACTACCCCAGGCTTGCCGGAGAGGGCACGTGCAGGGTGCCGGCGGCTCCGGCTGGCCATAAAACATACAACCTTGGAGATGAACCTTAGTCTTGCCGAACTGGTCCAGGTAGCGAAGGAAGTCCAACACATGGTTGCAATTGCATTGAGATAAAGGCACTGGAGGCCTCTGGTTCTTCAGATACTGCCCAAATGTGTTCCAATCCCTTCTCTTTTGTGACTCATAGCGGCTAAGTGTAGGGCTCGAGGAAGAAGACGATCCTTCTGCAGTTAAATCCATCCCACTACTAGACATGTTGTTCTTGGGGTATCACACTGATACGAGAACAACGAAAGTAATTAAGATCAGTGTTTGTTCTGTTTGATAAAGGCGAGAAGAAGATGATAGAGAGGTGAAAAGTGAAAGGAATAGGGAGAAGAAGAAGGAGAGGAGAGTGGAGGAAGATGGAGATCACGACGTCATTGGGCTAACACTGAGTAGACATGAGATGGGCCATATCAGTTGCTTTCTCTTCATCTTTTTTTCTTATATACTCCTTTAATGACATTTATCATTATCATTAAGTGTCTGTATGTATATATACATCCCCCACCTCCCTCTCCCTCTTGTTTGGTAGTACAATTATTATTGTTGTTTCCCCTTAAATTGTAAACATGTCTGTAGGATAATCAAAGTATGTTTGCTCATTTTTGTTTAGGCACCTATTATAAATCAAATCTCCTTTTGAAAAACATGTATGAATCGCAATCTATGAGATCCTTATTATAAGGACACCCTCAAGTTAATTAATTAGTCGCAACCATATGTATTGGCTAGTAATTGTGATTTTTAAATAACAACTCATAGATTAATTAAAGGAAATATTCATAAAAGTTAATTGATATACTATACGATCTCCCTGCTTCTTTCCTATCAATTATGGGGACTGGAATTTAAAAAAAGAAAAAAACTGCGACAGACTCCCGATCCATTTTTCTAATTATGTTCTCCATAATACTTCATATATTCTGTCCTACCCCACCCCCCCCCCCAAAAAAAAAAACTCCTGTAGGTGTCTTTCCTAATTTGTTTGCATTTTATGTATGTAGGAAGGGTTTTCTTCAATTTCCATCTTTAATCCATCTGAAGCAAACTTGGCCACCGAAATAAAGAGGCAATTTTCTAATATAAAGAATTTGTTTGATTTTTAATATCGTTGTGGAATTTTAGGTGGACTTTCCAATCTCTTTAATCTTTCGCTTCAAATTAATTTTTTTCAACAACATTGATCGAACCAAAGTTTCCTTAGTGTGCTGAGTCTCAAAAAAGTTAATTTCAATAATTAGTGCAGAATTAACATGATTGTCAGGAATCAAATTCATATATATAATTGACCATATAAATATGTATGAAAAAGAAGAATCAACTTTTAATTTCCCTTTGAACTCTTTTTTAGGCTTTTGACACCTTCCTTAAACTTTGGACAACAAACATATGGATGTGACTCAGTTTTCAAACAAAAACAAAACGATGAATAATATGTAAGATAGTACTACATACTAGTTTTCTAGTCGAGATTTGGATCGTTCATCTTGTTTTGTCAACTTCTCAGTCCCAGTATGGGGTGGTTTGGTAGAACCAAGTATAAAGATGGGTCGAGGGAGACGTGGAATCCATCCAATTTAAAATATAAATGGGGTTATTTTAATTAATTACCTGAACATATATATTTGTATAGTCTATGAATTGTGATTTGTGCTTGTTGAAATTTATGAGGATGAACACCACTAATGTGAAACCTTAGTGGCTGTCGTAAAGGTGGTTGGCAATTCATGTGGATATTTGTCACCTCAAAATGATATGGCGACTTTTATTCAGGATTAGGGATTCTATGCTCATTCAACAACTAATTGATTATCTTTAAAGGAGTACATTAATTAACTGATGTTTATTTTCTCAATCATTAAAATGATACTACCTCCGGTCCTAATAATAAAAACCAGTTGACTAATTTGAGGAGATTAAGAAAGTAAGTTGAGTTAGTTATTTGTCCTAAATAAGTGTTGTCTTTTCTAAAATATCCTTATTAATCAAGTGTATTGACTAGAACTATCATTATTAGAAGGGCTACTTTGGAAAAAAAAATATAAATATGAGAGACAAAGTGAATTAAGGTATTATATTTAAGATCAAAATAAAAGTCAAACAGGGTCTTATATTAAGGACCAGAAGTAGTAATAATTTATTCAAAATTTTAGGATATATATTTAATCTAATAAATTGTGCATATATAAATAAATTAACATGTCAAACGAGCCCTAGTACATGTACGTGGTTCTATACACCAATTAAGTGACGTACTCAAGGACTGCAGTAAACGTAGATGTACGGGAAAGAACAGTATCAATGTTTTACTCAGCTTCTCTTCTTTTCTATAGGACATTATTGTCCTCATTTTAATAATACTCCAATAATTATGGAAAAATTGCTATGAAGTCTCAAATAAATAATATAATTATTAAAAATTCTCAACGATAACAAAACATCTTGCAATAACAAATTCTAAAATATTAAATAATAACTATTCACTTGTTATTAGTACTTATTAGTAATTAGTTTTTTTCTTTGAGACCTCATTGTAATTTCTCAAATTATTATTATTATCAAATACCCAGAAGGTTTTACAAGCTCATGCTAATGACGTTTAATTTAAAGTTGAGTTAAATATTGCCGAGAACTCGTTACCATTTTAACGAATTTAGTTAAAGTTAGTTATGTATTAAAACATTTGTAATGTCTCAAAATTAGTGTTAAGTCAAAAAAAAAAAAAGGGAAATCAGTTGGGTGTGAAAACTTTTATATTTTCAGAATCATCCTTGTTCAATTTTTGGAAAAATGAATTTTTTTCAATACTGTGTTCACCAACTGTGGGGCAAGTTTGAAATGGGTTATAAATATTAAGAAAAATTAGTGAGAAGAACCTGATAAAATTTTATACATAAAAGTACCAATACCTGGTCAATATTGCGTCCAAAAATTACAAGTACTCTGATTTAAATCTTTCTTACTAATAAATTTTTAATGAGAGCTTGTTTTTTCAATTTTCCGTAAATATTATACTCTTTTAATTTTAAATATAAAACTAAATAACTAGTTGATATATAGATTAAGAATAAAAAGAGGTAATAAGTTTTATTAAAAAGGTAATCTTATAAACAGTATGTATTGCAAGGCTTTTAAGAGACAAGGGGAATCAAAACTTCAGAGTCTGTAACACACACGCACACAGAGCTCGCTGTTAAGTGGAGGTATGAAGATGTGAAAGCGGATCGAGTCTACACATTATGGGTCCTTAATTGGTTGTCTTTATCTTTATCTTTTTTTTCTTAAGTACCACTATCTTTTTATTAAATAATACTGTTTGATACACTGTACATCTAAATGTGAGACGAGAATTCGAATGTTAATATAGGAAATAATCTTTCCTATTAGACTCAACAACTATCGATAATTGGTTGTTTTTACTAAGTACATAGATAAGTGCGTCCCAGAATGTGCACGGAGGCCCTAAAATGTTAACCACAAGATTCATATATAGGCATCCATAAATTATACATATACTTTTGCTACATCACACATAAAGTCTCCTCCAGAAACTTTCTATTTCAGATTTGCCTGACCCGCTTCCTACTGTTCAAATTAATCAGTGTCTTTATATGTATGCATCCAACTATTCATGTAACTGACCTTAAATTTAGTGGGATAGAATTTGTTGTTATACAAGAACATATTTTTATTAAATTTTTAATATAAAATTTATATTTGAATAGTTAGATTTAATTTTAAACATAAGATTTCAAGAATCCGCTTTGTCTCTTATATATATATATTTATCACTTTTTAGATTAATCCATCTAACTTATAAACTAATATATAAGATATTTTAGAAAAAATATGTTATCTTTATTATAATTAACTAATTTATTTATTTTTTAATTTAACATAATTAATTAAGTAGGTTTTATATTTAAAACCAGAGCTAATACTTCATGCATGCTCACAAAATAACGTGTCAAGGAATAGTATGATGCACGTAGTTTATTTGAACAGGACTTGGAGATCACAAAATTATGATAGTTCATGCTTAAACTAATAATCAAAATCATCTTTTTAAACTTAAACAGAGAAACCCAATGCTACCCGTCGTAATAAAGTCATCTCTAGAAATAGTTTTTTTTTTTTTGCCCCTTCTTCATATGTTACATTTTGGCTGTGTGGTTGGCTTTATGCTCAATCCAAGCGTCTCGATGTGTAATTGATATTAACCCATTCTTAATATAAGAGCTATTTTAATTTTTAATTTGGTTCTAAATATAAGACTCTAATCTACTTTGTTTTTCATATTTATCTATTTATTTCAAAATAAATTTTATAATAGTTGCACATGTTAAAAGTTCAATCAAATAATAGTTTTAGTTAATATTATCTCCGGTCCTTAACATAATAGCTCTTTTAACTTTTATTTTGGTCTTAATATAAGACTCCCAATCCACTTTGTCTTTTATATTTATCATTCTTTTCAAGATAATCCTTACAATAATGGTAATTCTAACCAATGTACTTGATTAGCAGGGATATTTTAAGAAAAACAATACATATTTATTACAAATAACTAACTTAACCAATTTTTTTGATCTACTCAAATTAATTAATTAGCTCTTATACTAAAGACAAGAGGTGGTACATGCTTAGTAATGGTATTTTAGAGAAGAAAACACAAAATCATACAAATAACTAAGTTACTAAACTTTCTTAATCTATTCAAATTAGTCAACTAATCCTTATGTCTCCGATCCTTATTATAAGGGCTCATTGACTAATTTGAATAGATTAAAAAATTTTGTTGAGTTACTTATTTGTAATAAATAAGTTTTGTATTCTTTAGAATACCTTGACTAATTATATATATTAGTTAGAACTACCATTTGATAGAACTTTTAACATATACAGCTACTATAATGACTACTTTAAAGAAAACCGATCGAATCAATATGAGAGACAAAATAAATTGAAATATTATATTTTAACAGAATTAAATGTCAAACTAGTTCTTATATTAAGAATAAGAGGTAATAACTATTTTAAATTTTACAGATTTTGACGCTAAATTTGAATCTTTGAGTGTCAAAAAATATGTTTGATTCTATATTATAGAAATCATAAAACTGTGAATTCCATATTGCTTCCACCAAAGCCATGATTCTGAACCTCCAAATTTTCTAACATTAATAAACACGTAATAAGTCCATAAATACATGAATCTGTCTTGAATTGATTATTTTGTTTTTTTAGCTTTGCCCGTATTAAAATCTATTTCATCTGTCTCTTGATTTTCAATATCCAACATATATACAGTCAATAAATAGGAATGAAATTAGAAAATGATAATTAACACTCTCTTTAATCCTATATATAAGGAACAATTAATTAATGCAATGACAGGTATTTAAA